TCATGTAAATTTTGTATTGGAAGGTCCTCTCAGGGAGATAAAAGGGGAATTACCTGTTAATAGTGTTTACTCTGGGCCCAGGAACCTACAGCTTTATCATTCGTAAAACCACTCTTTTAACCGTGTGAATTATCCACAAGTGTGTTAACTTAGAACCTCTGTTGTAAAATCTTGACTGATTAAATGTAAGGATCGAGAGGGAGTCTTGGTTGATTGCTTGCATTTCACCCTCTGAAAGCAGCCGACAACCATCCCTAGCCCACTTAAATCACTGTAATGGTGTGAGAGTGCATTCATTCATACATTATTGAGTTGGGGTCTGCAGGCCAGACTTCCACAGGTGGTGGTCAATGTCTCAGAAGGTTCCTCAAAAAATTAAACATAGAATTACTATGTGATACAGCAATTCCACTTCTGGGTATATATCCAAAAGAATTGAAAGCAGGGCTGGGTATATTATGAGGTCAGGAGTTCAAGACCAGCCTGGCCAAGATGGTGAAACCCCATCTCTACTAAAAAAAAAAAATACAAAAAATTAGCCAGGTGTGGTAGCAGGCACCTGGAGTCCCAGCTACTCAAGGAGGCTGAGGCAGAGAATTGCTTGAACCCAGGAGGCAGAGGTTGCAGTGAGCCAAGATTGTGCCACTGCACTGCAGCCTGGGTGACAGAGAGAAACTATGTCTCAAAAAACAATAAAAAAAAAAAAAAAGAATTGAAAGCAGGGACTTTAAAAGATATTTCTATACCCATGTTCATAGCAACATATTCACAATAGCTAAATGGTAGGAACAGCCCAAATGTCCATCAATGAATGAGTGGATAAACAAAATGTGAAAGATACGTACAACAGAATGTTATTCAGCCTTAAAAAGGAATGAAATGGGGCAGGCATGGTGGCTCACACCTGTAATCCTAGCACTTTGGGAGGCCAAGATGGGCAGATCATCTGAGGTCAGGAGTTCAAGATCAGCCTAGCCAACATGGTGAACCCTGTCTCTACTAAAAATATAAAAAATTAGCCAGGCATGGTGGTAGGTGCCCATAATCCCAGCTAGTCGGGAGGCTGAGGCAGGAGAATTGCTTGAACTTAGGAGGTGGAGGTTGCAGTGAGCCAAGATCGCACCACTGCACTCCAGCCTGGGTAACAAGAGTGAAACTCCATCTCAGAAAAAAGGAATGAAATGGCTGGGCGAGGTGGCTCATGCCTATGATCCCAACACTTTGGGAGGTTGAGGTAGGAAGACCGCTTGAATCTAGAAGTTCAAGCCTAGCTTGGGCAACAAAGTGAGACCCCTGGCTCTACAAAAAAAAAGTAGCCAGGTAAGGTGGCACATGCTTGTAGTCCCAGCTACTGGGGAGGCTGAGGTGGGAGGATTGCTTGAGCCCAGGAGGTTGAGACTGCAGTGAACCATGATCTTGCCACTGCACTCCAGAGCCTGGGTGACAGAGCAAAATTTCTGGGGAGAGTGAAATCATGATATCCTGTAAGTATATGAATAAACCTTGAAGACATTATGCTAAGTGAAATAAGCCAGACACAAAGGGACAAATACTGTATAATTCCACTTACATGAGGTACCTAACATAGTCAAATTCAGAGACAGGAGGTGGAATAGTGGTGGCCAGGGACTGGTGGCAGGGGGTGGGGGAGGGTGGAATGAAGAGTTAATGTTTAATGGGTAAAGAGTTTCATTGTGTGATGATGCAAAAGTTCTGGACCAGGCACAGTGGCTCATGCCTGTAATCCCAGCACTTTGGGAGGCTGAGGTGGGCAGATCACGAGGTAAGGAGTTTGAGGCCAGCCTGGCCAACACAGTGAAACCCCGTCTCTACTAAAAATATAAAACTTAGCTGGGTGTGGTGGCTCCTGACTGTAATCTCCGCTACTCAAGAGGCTGAGGCAGGAGAATTGCTGGAACCTGGGAGGTGGAGGTTGCAGTGAGCTGAGATCTCACCACTGTACTCCATCCTGGGCAACAGAGCAAGACTCTGTCTCAAAAAAAAAGAAAGAGAGAAAGAAAGAAAGAAGAAAAGAAAGGCTGAAGTAGTTACATGTGTGTGTTTTAATTCTTTTCATATCTTGTCTTCTCAGTTTTTTTTTTTTTTTTTTTTTTTTTTAAGAGATGAGGTCTTGCTCTGTTGAAACATGTTAATATCTTGGTAAAAAGTGTATTTATATTTTCCTGCTTTTTTCATCTGTTTCATGGAAAAATTCTCATCAGATATTCTTCTGCTATATAACTTTAAATGACTACATTGCTTTCATTTATGACATCACAACTAAACTAATTAAACCAAATTTATATTGCTAACTTGTCTAATTTTTTCTCTATTAAAATGACAAAAGGATTATAACCAAATGCAACAGAGTCAAAAAGAATGCATGTTTTAACTATTTTTGCCTACCAAAAAAAAAAAAGGCCAGGCATGGTGGCTGACGCCTATAAATTCCCAGCACTTTGGGAAGCCAAAGTGGTGGATAACTTGAGGTCAGGAATTTGAGACCAGCCTGGCCAACATGGCGAAACCCCATCTCTACTAAAAATACAAAAAATTAGCCAGACGTGGTGGTGGGTGCCTGTAATCCCAGTACTTGGGAGACTGAGGCAGGAGAATCACTTGAACCTGGGAGGCGGAGGTTGCAGTGAGCCAAGATCATGCCACTGCGCTCCAGCCTGGGTGACAGAGAGAGACTCCATCTAAAAAAAAAAAAAAAAAAGAAAAAAAAGAAGGCCAGGTGCAGTGGCTCACACCTGAAATCCTAGCACTTTGGGGGCCGAGGCAGGCAGATCACGAGGTCAAGAGATCGAGACCATCCTGGCCAACATGGTGAAACCCCGTCTCTACTAAAAATACAAAAGTTAGCTTGGCATGGTGATGTGCACCTGTAGTCCCAGCTACTGACGAGGCTGAGGCAGGAGAATTGCTTGAACCTGGGGGGCAGAGGTTGCAGTGAGCCGAGATCCTGCCACTGCACTCCGGCCTGATGCCTGGTAACAGAGCAAGACTCTGTCTCAAAAAAAAAAAAAAAAAAAAAAAAAAAGACAGTAAAAAGAAAAAAAAAATGTTTGCTTCATTGCCATGAAAGGGTCATACCAGTTTTTACATCCACCAACACATGAGTTTCTTTTCCAAATCTTCAACATCCTGTGAGAGATAGTTAAATCATAGTTGTTCAGAGCACAGGCTTGAGAATCAGATTTCAAAGGTATGAATCCTCTCCCTTTTTTTCTGTTTTAGAGGCAGGGTCTTGTTATGTTGTCCAGGCTGGTCTCAAACTCTTGGCCTTAAGCAACCCTGACATCTCAGCCTCTAAATACACTGGGATTACAGGTGTGAACCACCTTGCCCAACTTCCATTTTCTAGCTGTCTGATCTTCAGAAAATCAGTTAAATTCTCTGGGCCATAATTTACTAATAGGTTTCTTGTAAGTATTAACAATTAGCTACTATTATTTACCTCCTTTAGTTCCTGAGACTCCTATGCACAAAATATACTTGATGTGTACCTCAGAACCTAATAACCAAAGGTAATTAGAACTACAGGTAGTTGTATGATTAATGACACGGGACATGAGACCATTTGGAACTAGGTAAAAAGGCTTACCTTGAGGACAGCCTTATTAGAAGCAGAGGCAAGTACAGGTTTTGTGAGCTTGAAGCTTATGCATGTATAGGTTTCTCTAATTATAAAGATAGGAAATTACAAAATCAGGTACAAAGGCTTGGGAGTGGCCTAAAGCTTAAGTTTGATGAAAAAACCACCTCTGGTTGGAACCAATAGCTTATGAAAAGTTAGAAAAAAGCCTGGTGCATGGGGTGCTCCTTAAGTCCCAGCTATTTGAGAGGCTGAGGCAGGAAGATGGCTTAAGCCCAGGAGTTTGAGCCATATAAGTGTGCAATGGTGATAAACAGCGCTGTACTCCAGGCTAGCAACATAGTGAGACACTATCTTTTAGAAAAAGAAAGGATGAGAGAGGTAACACTTGCCTGACTGGAACAAAATGAGAAACCCATATAAGAAAATAACTATGGGTGAGGTGGCTCATGCCTGTAATCCCAGGACTTTGAAAGGCTGAAGTGAGCGGATCACCTGAGGTCAGGAGTTCAAGACCAGCCTGGTCAACATAGTGAAACTCCATCTCTAGAAAAAATACAAAAATTAGCCGGGTGTGGTGGTAGGCGCCTGTAATCCTAGCTACTTGGGAGGCTAAGGAGAATCCCTTGAATCCTGGAGGCGGAGGTTGCAGTGAGCAGAGATTGCACGAGAAAGAAAGGGGAGGAGGAGAGGAGAGGGGGAAAAAAAGAAAAGAATACTACTTCATTTGGCTGTTTTTACACCTGTAAGGAATGAAGCTCAGAGGTCACACAGCTAGTAAGAAGCCAGCACCCTTCGATGTGGGATTGATGAGGAGGATAGGCATATAGAGAGAACACACAAGCAAAACACCATGGTGCAGATTTTGAAAGAAAAGCCCCATGATTAGTAATGAGTTTGAATTACTCAAGAAAGTGATCAAACCCAATTCCAGTCCTGCATTCCTCTTCACCATCAGGAGTCTGGCGCCAGGACACTGCTAGAGGCCAGGTTCTTTAAGAATCAGCCCCGGTCCAGCCCACTCCGTGGGCCAATAAGCTTCTGAAAAGCAAAACTAGGAAGTTGCTTTCCAATAAAAAGTGGAGATTTCAAGACAGGAGGCTTTAAGCAAGTTCGAGTGTGTCTGTATTTGGTCTTGCTGATTGGCTGCGCTCTGGTCTTCCCAGCTGACATTAGCAGACTGCTGCTTTGCCCTGGTGACGGCCTGCGACGGCACCCCTAGAGATCTCTAACAAGCTTCTTTCTACCCACCCTGTTCGGTTGTTCCCAGGTTTGACTTCAAGGCGCAAAATGGCGGCCTCGTCTCTTGCTGTCCTGCGAGCGTCCCGGCTGTCAGTGGAGCCTGAAGAGTTGGGCGCAGTTGCTGGGGTATCCAAAGCTGAGGCAGGTTGACCAGATCATTTGAGTTCCTGCCCGGATGATGGTGACACTGTCCCTGGAGCCCACCGGCCGCTGCAGCTGGGACGAGCCGGTGCGCATCGCCGTGCGCGGCCTGGCCCCGGAGCAGCTGGTCACGCTGCGCGCGTCCCTGCGCGAAGAGAATGGCGCGCTCTTCCGGGCCCACGCGCGCTACTGCGCCGACGCCCGCGGGGAGCTGGACCTGGAGCGCGCCCCAGCGTTGGGCGGCAGCTTCGTGGGGTGCGAGCCCATGGGGCTGCTCTGGGCGTTGAAGCCCGAGAAAGCCTTGGGGCAACTGGTGAAGCGCGACGTGCGGACGCCCGTCCCCGTGGAGCTGGGGGTGCTGGACGGCCACGACCCCGAGCCTGGGCGGCTGCTGTGCCAGGCGCGGCACGAGCGCCACTTTCTCCAGCCGGGCGTGCGGCACGAGCCGGTGCGCGCCGGCCGAGTGCGCGCCAGGCTCTTCCTGCCGCAGGCGAGCCACCTCTGCTAATTGTTCGCGTCTGCCCATCCCGTGTCCCTGCGCTTTTCACACGGAGAAAGGATGTAGTTTCCAACATTCCGGAGGTTAGTGTAAGGAGACAGGAGTGGAATGGAAAGCTGGCTGGGGAAGTGCCCCTGCTGCTCCAAAACTGAGAGGTCCTTCAAACCTAGTGCTCATTTAAAAGACATTGTAAAGAAAGGGAAGAGGCACGTAATATAAAAAAACAAACAAAAAACAGGCCGGGCGCGGTGGTTCACGCCCGTAATTCTAGCACTTTGGGAGACTCAGGCGGGCGGATCACCTGAGGTCAGGAGTTTGAGACCTACTCAGGAGGCTGAGGCAGGAGAATTGCTTGAACCTGGGAGGCATTGGTTGCTGTGAGCCGAGATCGCGCCCTTGCACTCCAGCCGGGGCAACAAGAGTGAAACTCCATCTCAAAAAAAAAAAAAAAAAAAAAAAGCCATTTGCAGGTAGTTTCAATTTTCTTAATGTTGCTTATTTATTGACCAGAAAGTCAATTTTTTTTAAATAAAAAGCATTCCGACTGGTTTTCTCGCTCTATTTCCATGGAGGTGCCAGGTGGCCGGGCCTGTGACAGCGCAGAGGTACGGTGCCTGCCTGCCTACTGCAGGGCCTGTTCGTTCCCCGCTGCCGCCACGTAGCTCCCCGCTGGCGATGATTTCCCTCCAGTTGTCACTCCAGGAGAGCAGCCGCCTCCTTGTGTAGGGCAGGACCAGGTGTTGATTGTGGCCTCTAATGGTGTCCTTGTCATCACTGGACAGGTCCCCAAAGATCACGGTCTTGTCCGTTGTGAGGATAATTCAATCCACAAGCTGGGGCTCCAGGTGCTGCTCTAGCCAGCGGTGCTTCTCACACACGGTGGTCATACTTCCACAGGGGCTGGTGCAGTATGAAGACCTCGGTGTTTTGCACGTGCTTCATCTCTCACAAGGCCCTCCGGGGTTGGGCTCCAAGCCTCGGGAAACGCTTAGAGCTTCACACCCATGGGCCACTTTATCCGCCAAGTCGGGCAGCAGGGTGCGGTACTGCTCCCAGGCCGGAAGCTGCGGTGCTGCTGCAGTGTCACACGCAGCTCCCTGAGAAGCGGAGGCTGAAGACCCGCAGGAGGCCCTCTGGAAGCCGCCAGCAACAGTCCCTGTCCTCCAGCACATGCATGGGCTGTGCTGCTGTCGCTGCTGGGGCACTGGGGTCTCTCGGGATCTGAGGGGTGTGGGGCCTGCAAATGTTCTTTTAAAAGTTTCTCAGTTTTGCAACTTTTCTTGCAACTCCCACAGTCTGTTAAGGTTTATGTAAATTAGCATTTACAATAGGAAGAAAGTCTCTTGTTGTCAAATGGAAATTTGAAGTTACTGGATACTTTTATGTTACATAAAGAGCAATCAGGCCAGGTTTGATGGCTCATGCCTGTAATCCCAGCACTTTGGGAGGCTGAGGTGGGTGGATCACCTGAGGTGGGGAGTTCAAGACCAGCCTGACCAACTTGGAGAAACCCCGTCTCCACTAAAAACACAAAGTTAGCCGGGCGTGGTGGCTTATGCCTGTAATCCCAGCTACTCTGGAGGCTGACAGGAGAATCGCTTGAGCCTGGGAGGCAGGGGTTGCAGTGAGCCAAGATCACGCCATTGCACTCTGGGCTGAGAAAAAAAAGCGAAACTCTGCCCCAAAAAAAAAAAAAAAAAAAAAAAAGAGAAAGCAATCAGCCAATGTAAAAATGAAATGATGGTATCCTTATTAATAATCAAAGAAATGCAATATAAAACAGAGTACATTTTACACCCTCAGAAGTTGCAGACATTTAGAAGTCAACATTATCAATTGCTGACCAGTATGTGGAGGAAATGAAACTCACTGCTAGAAGGAGTCAGCATATTCATCTACTCTGGCAAACAATTTGCCTTAACTTAGAAAGTTGAATATGTGGCTGGGTGCGGTGACTCACGCCTGTAATCCCAGCACTTTGGGAGGCTGAGGTGGGCAGATCACCTGAGGTTGGGAGTTCAAGACCAGTCTGACCAATGTGGTGAAACTGGCCTCTACTAAAAATACAAAATTAGCTGGGCGTGGTGGCACATGCCTGTAATCCCAGCTACTCAGGAGGCTGAGGCAGGAGAATCGCTTGAACCCAGAAGGTGGAGGTTGCAGTGAGCCGAGATTCCACCATTACACTGCAGCCTGAGCAACAAGAGTGAAACTCTGTCTCAAAAAGAAGGAAGGAAGGAAGGGAAAGAAAGGAGAGAAAGAGGGAAAGCAAGCAAGCAAGAAAGCAAGCTAAATATGTTATTCTACTTGTATATGGGCAAGAAGAGCAAAACTGTCTCAAAAGGAAAGGAAAGGAAAGGAAGGGAAGGGAGGGAGAGAGAAAGAAGGAAAGAAAAAGGGAAAGAGAGAGGGAGAGAGAAAGAAAGAAAGAAAGTTGAATATGCTATTCTACTTGTACATGTGCACCAGGAGGCAGATTCCTTATAAGAGCAAAGCCATTGCAGATGAGCAGTTAATTTAAAAAAAAAAAAAAAAAAGAGAGAGAGAGAGAAACCAACTGGAAACAGCCCAAATGTCCATCAACAATAGAACAGATTAATATACTGAGGGGTATTTCCAGCCATCAAAGTGATTGAAGTACAGCTACAAGAATCAACATCTACCAAGATATGCAAAATAAAAGAAAAAAATTTAAAAAGAATCAACATGGATGAATCTCCAAACCACTCTTCAATGAAATAATCAACCCCTAGAAGAATACATTCAGTATCATTCCATTTAGATACAATTCAAAAAATAGGCAGATTAAAATATTGTTTGCAGTACCCATCTAAGTGGTAATACTATAAAGAAAACCAAGGGAATGATACACAGAAAGTCCAGGATACTGGAAAGGGAGGAAACGGTACAAGTGTCTGTGGGACTTTGATGGTTTGATGGTATCGGCACTTAACTATTTCTTAAAGTGTTGCCTATAAGGTATTTGCATTTTTTTTTTTTTTTTTTTCCCTGAGACAGCATCTCACTCTTTCACTCAGGCTGGAGTGCTGTGGCATGATCTCAGCTCACTGCAACCTCTGCCTCCCAGGTTCAAGTGATTCTCCTGCCTCAACCTCCTGAGTAGCTGGGACTATAGGTACATGCTACCACGCCTGGCTAATTTTTGTATTTTTAGTAGAGATGGGGTTTCACCATGTTGACCAGGCTGGTCTCAAACTGACCTCAGATGATCCCGTCTCAGCCTCCCAAAGTGCTGGAATTACAGACATGAGCCACCGTGCCCAGCCTGCGTTATTATTGTTTTTTGTATGAAATGCAAACTTTCAATGTAAATGGTAAAAAAATACTCATTTGTGAGTGAATCATTCAGAATGAGTAACCTTTTGAGTCTGTCTCCATTGAATGAGTGCATTCCGTTGAATGCCCTGGAGAGTCACTTGTCTTTTCTATGTAGCAGTCTTTCTTCTCGTTTCTTGGTAGTACCCCATTAGATGGATTCGTTTACCAGTCAAAGGACATTTTGGTTGTTTCCAGTCTTTAGCTATAATGAATAAAGTCACTATAAACACTTGCGTACAAGTTTCTCCATGAACACAAGTTTTCATTTCTTGTGGGCAGATACCTAGGAATGGGATTGCTGGGTCACATATATGGTAAGTATATGGTTAACTTGATAAGAAACCATCCAACTGTTTCAGGAATAGTTTGGTTTGCATTTTGTTTTGTTTCTTCCCAAGAACCTGGGCCCTTTCCTGGGATTGTGGACATTTTCGGAACTGGAGGTGGCCTGCTGGAGTATCGGGCTAGTCTGCTGGCTGGGAAAGGTTTTGCTGTGATGGCTCCGGCTTATTACAAGTATGAAGACCTCTCCAAGACCATCGAGATGCTCTATCTGGAGTACTTTGAAGAAGCTGTGAACTACTTGCTCAGTCATCCTGAGGTTCTTCTCTCAGATTTATGGGCTATGTATCAGGTCTCTTCTTAAATGGTCTGGTTTTCACAGAAGTTGGCTCATTCATGACAGCCATTCCCTACCCCAACACATCAACATACACTACCTTTTCTAGTCACTTCTTCTCATTTATTTATTTATTTTTTGAGATGGAGTCTTGTTCTGTCAACCAGGCTGGAGTGCAGTGGTGCGATCTCAGCTCACTGCAGCCTCTGCCCCTGGGTTCAAGCAATTCTCCTTCCTCAGCCTTCTGAGGAGCTGGGATTACAGGTGCCTGCCACCATGCCCAGCTAATTTTTTTGTATTTTTAGTAGAGACTGGGTTTCACCATGTTGGTCAGGCTAGTTTTGAATTCCTGATCTCATGATCTGCCCGCCTCGGCCTCCGAAAGTGCTGGGATTACAGGTGTGAGCCACTGCACCTGGCTCTTCTTATAGACAGTTTCTTCCTTTCTTTTTTTTCTTTCTTTCTTTCTTTTTTTTTTTTTTTTGAGATGGAGTCTCACTCTGTTGCCAGGCTGGAGTACAGTGGTGCAATCTTGGCTTACTGCAAACTCCACCTTCAAAATTCAACTGATTCTTGTGCCACTGTACCTGGGCTTGTTATTTTATTTCATAATGAACCCAAACACATTTGAGAACCCTGGGTTTGACCCAAGAAGTAAAGGGGAAGAGGTGGGGAATCACTTTCTTCAGAAGGTATCTGTTTTGGCCGGGTGCAGTGGCTAATACCTGTAATCCCAGCACTTTGGGGGGCCAAGGCGAGCTGATCACTTGAGGTCAGGAGTTTGAGACCAGCCTGGCTAACATGGTGAAACCCCACCTCTACTAAAAATACAAAAATCAGCTGGGCGTGGTGGCGGGCGCCTATAATTCCAGCTACTCAGGAGGCTGAGGTAGGAGAATCTCTTGAACCCAGGAGGTGAGCTAAGATTGCGCCACTGCACTCCCGCCTGGGCCACAGAGTGAGACTCTGTCTTTAAAAAAAAAAAAAAAAAACGTATCCGTTTAAGTGTCTGAATTTAACTATCTTCTCTTCCTGTATCCTCTCAGCACAGGATTAAGTTATGGGGGGTTTGCTTTTAGAGTTAGGTTTTAAAGGAGAAATTTGGCAGCCAAAGAAACTGGATACTAGGAAATGTTTCAGGAGTTCCAGATTCAGCATATCAGAGGATCAGAAGATAAATCTTACTTAATTCAGTTAGAGTTCAAGGTGGATGGAAGCACTGGAGCTCTTAGAAAAGGTGATAGGAGAGTCGGGTGTGGTGGTGCGTGTCTATAGTCCCATCTTCTCAGGAGGCTGAGGCAGGAGGATCCCTTGAGCCTAAGAGTTTGAGGCTATGGTGTGTTATGATTGTGGCTTGAATAGCCGATGCAATTCAGCCTGCACAACACAGCAAGACCCATCTCTCTTTTTTTTTTTAAATAGAGACAGGGTTTCACCATGTTGGCCAGGCTGGTCTCGAACTCCTGACCTCAGGTGATCCACCTGTGTCGGCCTCCCAAAATGCTGGGATTACAGGCGTGAGCCACTGCGCCCAGCCAAGACCCATCTCTTAAGAAAGAAAGAAAGAAAGAAAGAAAGAAAGAAAGAAAGAAAGAAAGAAAATAGCACTTGAACCTGGGAGGGGGAGGTTGCAGTGAGCTGAGATTGTGCCATTGCACTCCAGCCTGGCAACAGAGCGAGACTCCGTCTCAAACAAACAAAAAAAGAGAAAATAGAAAAAGGTGATAGGGTATATTGTAGTGGAACCAGCATTAGATATACATAGAGAAGAGTTAAATATGAGTTTTGATTTTGCCAATTACTGGCCTCATGACCTTGGGACCCTTGTTTCTTCTTTGAAAAACTGGGATGATAAACGTATCATTTAATTCCTAGTACTTTTGTGAGGAATAAATGGTTGCAACTAGCCAAGGGTGCTGTTGCAGAAGCCACAAGAGAAAAAAATAATAAACTGCTGTTGGGAAGCCAATCAAATGGCCATTTATTTATGGCATGGAGGACATTGGTAACCTTGTGGAACAGTGCACACTCTACCCCGGAGGGGATGGAGCAGAGGATGGAAGCCAAGAAAACAAGCAACTACAGACAACTTTTTCCACAGATTTTGCCATGAAAGGGAGTAGAGAACTAGGGCTATAACTAGAGTGGCTGGGGCCAAGAATTGTCATCAAAACCTAAGAGACTCTAGAGGGTGGAAGTACACTGATGGGAATGAGCCTGTAGAGAAGATAGCTGTAAAGGAGGAGAGAGGGAAATAATTGCAGGAGCAAGGTCCTCAAGAATGAGAGTAGATGGGATTTGCAAGCACAAATAGAGGGGTGGCCTTTGTCAGGAAAAGAAATGTGGGGCTCTTTGTAATTCAATCTTGCATTCTCTGCCAGGAGAATGTCGATAAATGTCTAGTCCTGCCCTGACGAGGCTCTAGATTTGGTCATGTTTACAGTGTGCCTTTCATGGGATAATTCTTTTTCCTGGCAGATGGCTTAATGTCTGTGCAACCGATCTATGGCCAAGCGTCACTGTCATAAGGTACTTGTTTAAAGTGGCAGAACCCTTGTGATTCTTATCTGACCTGACGAGTCACGAGCGTGTCTGCCACCACAAACAATTCCAGGTTCATCCTACAGAGATAACCACTCTGTGGGAGAGCCGTGACCTGGAAAGGAGTTAGGTTTGGGGTCAGGTGAGACACAGAGGAGGCAGCGCAACAAAGCACATGAAATAAGCAGCATATTCCTCACAGACCCCAGACCCAAGAGGGCAGTATGCCTTGCAGGGCCATTGGGAAGTAGAGAGCTGTCTGGGACACAGACGTTCAGCCAGTGAGAGGGTGAGAGAGAGACAGGACTTATGGGGCCAAATCCATTACTGAGGTCTGAGTGTTACCCAAGCAGGTTTCCCTCAGGGGTTTTGGATTGGCTGATTTATACACAAACCTATTTACAAGACTCTAGTGTTGACCATTAGGTTTTTGTTTGTTTGTTTTTGTGTTTGTTTTAAGGCAGAGTCTCTCGCTCTGTTGCCCAGGCTGCAGTGCAGTGGCACCATCTCTGCTCACTGCAACCTTGCCTCCTGGGTTCAAGTGATTCTCCTGCCTCAGCCTCCCAAGTAGCTGGGACTACAGGCATGTGCCACCGCACCTGGCTAATTTTTGTACTTCTAGTGGAAACAGAGTTTCACTATGTTAGCCAGCTGGTCTTGAACTCCTGACCTCAAGTGATCCTCCTGCCTCAGCCTTCCAAAATCCTGGGATTACAGATGTGAGCCACCGCGCTCTGCCATGATTAGGTTTTAACATGGTCAGCAGTTATGATGCATGTTGGGTTTTGGGTCAGTGGGATGAGGAACAAACACAGAGGGGAAAGTTTATTTTTTGTTTTGTTTTGTTATTTTTGGAGACAGAGTTTTGCTCTAGTTGCCCAGGCTGGAGTGCAATGGCACGATCTCGGCTCACCGCAACCTCTGCCTCCCAGGTTCAAGCAATTCTCCTGCCTCAGCCTTCTGAGTAGCTGAAATTACAAGCCCCTGCCACCAGGCCTGGCTAATTTTTTGTATTTTTAGTAGGGATGGGGTTTCTCCATGTTGGTCAGGTTGGTCTCAAGCTCCTGACCTCAGGTGATCCTTCCGCCTCGGCCTACCCAAAGTGCTTGGATCAAACTCCTGAGTTTTAACTAGGCCAAAGATGACAGCAGTACCTAGTTTAGGCCAAAGATGACAGGGCACACTGTGCCCAGCCTGAAAGTTTTAACTAGGCCAAAGATGACAGTAGTACCTAATTAAGGCCAAAGATGGCAGGGCACACTGTGCCCAGCCTGAAAGTTTTAACTAGGCCAAAGATGACAGGGCACTGCTGGGTTTCAAGTAACTTTTATCAGGTCTGAGAATGGATGCCTGGACAGCAGTTATATTAAACAAATTTATATCAGATACTTCCTTGGAAACAGGAGGGAAGGCAGAGTTTGAGTTCCCATGGAAGTAGGTAGATTTGGCAGTGAGAAAATGAGGAAAGGTTCCTACCAATAGCTTCTGTTTCTTCAATGAAGTATGAAGAGCTAAAAGTGAAGTGAAAGGTGAGGGTTAAAAGGGCTTGAGGAGGTAGGAGAAAATATGAAGAGCTCTCCTGGAGAAGTGAAAGGTAAACACAGCCATGAAATATGAGAGGATTCATGGGCAATGTAGATGCTCATTTAAATTTGTGGTCATGAAATGAAACTAAGATCTGTCAGCATAAATGTGTATTTTTTCTTCTTCTCCAGCAGTGTTCATTTGCACAAATGTGAGCCTAGAGGAAATGAATAGGTGGATTTAACAGGGTTAGCACTTTCCAGGCCAGTGTGGCCAAAGGAAGAGGGAGGTTAGAGAACGTAAGAGTGTTTGCAAAGGAGTGATGCTGCGGTTGAAGCAGGAAATCGAGACTAGAGGAGACAGGAAGTGAGAACACGAGAGAGATACTGATAGTGACAAAGTGATAGGCAGGGTCTCATAGAGGTAGAAATGGGAGGTCTCTCAGAGGTAGAAATTTTACCAGGATGGTTAAATTGAAAGTACTGAAGATGGCACTCAGAGAGGAATGCTTGAAGCTGAGATTTTGGAGATAATGTACGGTTTTTTTTCTTTTTTTTGAGGAAGGTCTCACTCTGTCACCCAGACTGGAGTTAGTGGTGCGATCTCAACTCACTGCAACCTCCACCTCCCAGACTTAAGCGATTCTCCTGCCTCAGCCTCCCAAGTAGCTGGGATTACAGGTGCATGCCATTACTGCCTGGCTAATTTTTGTATTTTTAGTAGAGATGGGGTTTCACCACGTCGGCCAGGCTGGTCTCAAACTCCTGACCTCAAATGATCCACCCATCTCGGCCTCCCAAAGTGTTGGTATTACAGGAGTGAGCCACCACACCCGGCCATGAGATGATGTACTTATTGATGATGAATCAGTTTAGTTATGACAGTGGGAATGGGTAGCTCAGGTGGGAGAGAGAAAAAGATCATGGGAGATACGAGGTTAAGGAACTGAGGAACCATAGTAGTTGATAGGTCATCCACGTGGTTCTCACAAAGAGTGGTGATGGAGAAATTGTGGAAAGGAAGAGATAGAGGGGAGGTAAATTCCCAAAGTTGCAAATGTGGGTAAATG